TTGTTCCCCCCCCCCCCCCCCCCCCCCCCCCCTAAGATTGTGACAGGGAAGCGGGAGGGGGGTCTGGCAATCGATAATCTCTGCTCTAACTTTTTCTTCCTGGTTATTCGGTTTAAAATTAGTTCGATAAACATGCAGGGTGAGGACGTGCAGTAACCTCGTGCTTGTATATTTACTCCCCATCTTCATTTCCCTCGCCTTGCCTTATATTTGTGTGGGAGGATCCAAGGGTAGATCATGTAAGGAGCTATAATTTACACTCTCTTGTCTGCGACCAAATGAATCAACATCGTGATTGGTATTCCTATTACCGTCGCCTGATTTAGAAATGGAATCTCTGTGTCTTTATTTGCGCACGATTGATACGGATGCAAAGAACGCACCGCTACTTTCTTATTCAATTATTATAATTTATTTACTACATCGCACCATAAATACTTCCTTGCTGTCACGACGGCATTCTGCCGTCAGTTTGAATCAGTTTCGTCTCGACATCGATGCCGTCTGAGAGGCGGATCCGATGAAAGCACGGAGGCGATAATAACTGAGGCTGACCGCTGTGTTCCCATCAGACCCCACGCAAGTCCATGTCTGAATTCCCGGATCCGATCATGAATAAAAGCCCTCCCCCGCGACCGCCCTCAGCAATGGCACAGGAAGCCACAAAACCAGCCGAATCGCAATCTCCCACCCGAAGTCCATCTGCCTTCATCTGGCTTTCGAGCCCCCCCGGTGTATCTACCAGATCCAATCAAGCCCGGCTTCAATAGGGATGAAATTCCTTCATTAAAACCTCCTCCGCGCAGACCTAAGGTCCCCTTTTTTCTCGTCTATTACAATGCCATTATAAAGATGAGATCCTGTTGAGCCCTTCCCATCGGAAATGGACGATCCCATGCGCCCCACCCCTTCTTTCGCCTTGGGGCAGTCGTTGAAAATGAACCGAGATAAGCTCGACAAGGAACCTGAGCGAGGTAACGCAGTTTTCTTTCCAAAGAACCGGATTTCGACACTCCCGATCGGAGTGGGGCTGAAAAAATCCACACACGGAGTCACGATTTGGAAGAAAATCGACGGCCTCACATTATGAGAAGCCTGGAGATGTAATGCGATCCATCTTCCTCGGCCGTCCCTCTCCTTATTATCCCGATGATGGATGCCTCCGAAGGAGATCTGCAATTGTGATGTCATCTCGGATGGATCATAGGCAAACATAAACGTGACATCATGATTACGGTTTTCGCGATCCCGAAAAATGCAGAACCGTGTGATCGTGGTACAAGTATTCGGACCGATCGGGACGGCGAGCAGCGACACTTCTGGCGAGGCGATGACGTCACTATTTACTCAGAAAAGTGCTAGCGGGAATATTTGAAAAGGTATGTGTTTGAGAAGGGGGGATTCTTCTCACGGATTGACGCGAAGAAACCCGAGAACCCTGTCGAAGACGCCCCTTCCGAATCCTAATGAGGCTCTCCCCAATTACATGCAGAAAGGAGGCCTGAAAAACACGGAAGATCCATCTGAGGGTCCACCTTCCCTTGTCAGACTCATCCAGTAGTTGTAAGCAAATTACTATGCTGAGGATAGATTGGCAAACTTTGCAAACTTGCATTTCGACTCCCACACGGATGTCCATCACAGCAACCGAGGGAGAGAAAAGTGCACTTGCGCACTTTTCACTCTCTCTTTTTCAAATGAGGCGAGGAAATCTGCTGGACGTAATGCAAATAATCTCCTTATGCTTATTACTCCTGCGTCTACACATAAGCGCATGTAAAGAAACTTCTGGATTTTTCACCCGATAATACAGAATTTCGCCCACGTGCCAACAAATTTTTTCCTTCGTGCTTGCTTTTTCTTCTCACTTTTTCTCTCTCACGCAGTGTGTCACAAAACTCAATGGTGTGTGCGAAACAGGCGATGGGAGGCAGATGGAGGGCGTGGGCCAGCTTCCTCCTCGTGTTCCCAGTATGGGGAAGGGAAAACTTGGAGGTGAGGAGGGAAGACCCCGAGTATCGAAGGGAGGTGCGACTGGGCGGGAGCCCACTCCCCCTCGACCACCAGGTCGCCATCTACATCCCCGATAATCACGCGAAGAGGTCTCTCGTCTATACACCCACATGTCGACCCCCTGACCGATGAATCGGTTTAGCTGAAGGGATGCGTGTATTTCAGCATCTAAGGCTCGTACGACCTTGAGTCTTGGTAAAGCAATTCCTTATCCCATTGGGGGAAGAATTCTGGGCCCAAAATGATCACCTTTAAGGGACACCACGCATTGGCTGCTGAGATTAGATGCCAACAATGAGGGAAATCCTGGACATTAAACACTTATTGTATTAGCGCCTATTTCAGCCGATATGATGTCCAGTACCATTATCCCTATAGGTGATGATGTTGAATCTATGGGTCTAATTGATCCAACAAAATTAAAGGTCATACGACTAATGCTGAGATACACATCACTGAATACCTAAACCGCGTTATTGGTCACCCCGTACACTGTAAAAAATTTTTCGATTCGGAACACCTGAAAAAACACCATCCAGAACGCGTTTAACGCAACACTTTTGGAACACGTCAGGTGTTCCAGGTGATGATCTCTGAGGTGTTCTGTAATACGTTTCCTAATGTTCCCAAGGCCAAATTCAATTGAAGTGTTCCATCTAACAATGCGTTCCTGGAGGCGTTCCCAGCGCAACACTTTTGGAACACCTCAGGTGCTCCTTCGATGTGCTCTTTTTAAATGTCCCATCAAAGATGGGACGGAAATAGAAAGAAATACAGCATGATTGGAAGAAAATGTTTATTTAAAAGAAAAATAATCAAATTCAACAAAAAAAAACAAGGATTGAAAAGGATCCCTTTCTAGGCTGGATGCCAAATTCAGCAATAACAATTAAGAGTACTCTGAATAAGTACTGAGTACTCAGAAAAATTGAGGTCATATTGGAACAAAAAAAAAACAAGATTTTCTGGCCAAGAGTAACAAGGTGACACGAACATCATTTTTTTACTTTTGTGGCAGAGCCACTTTCAGTGTATCAACAACAATGAAAAATTCAACAAAAAAACAAGGATTGAAAAGGATCCCTTTCTAGGTTGGATGCCAGATTCAGCAATAACAACTAAGAGTATTCTGAATAAGTACAGAGTACTCAGAAAAATTGAGGTCATATTGGAATAAAAAAAATCAAGATTTTCTGGCCTAGCATGAAGTGTCATTTGAAGGGCTGAAAGAAACAGAAGTGTATCTTCAAAAAGCTTATTTCCTCCGCCTCCACACAGAGTGAATGTTCTAAATCCATTTTTTTTGTGAAGAAGAGCAGTCTTAAGAAACTGAGAAAAATTAAGCTGGTTTAGTGCTCATAGAACAAACAATTATTGGAGATTAACCACATTTTCTTTCTGCCCTTCAACCACAACATGAATCTCTTGGCCTCAGCAAATTACCTTTTCAGCAAGAAAGAAGTTTCTTAATTTTTGATTCAGGAGACTTGCACGCCCAGGCAAGGTCATACCAGTTTTAACATGCAAAACATAACGCTCCAACAAACAGAACATGGCAGCATACTTTTTGGGGTATTTTAACTCCAATGAAAAGTAAATTGCTAAGAGTAACAGGAAGGCGACACGAACATCATTTCTTGATTTTTGTGGCAGAGCCACTTTCAGTGTATCACCAACGATGGTAATTTGTCCAACACCTCCATCAAGAAGGAGAACCATCCTCGGTGACTCTCCTGCAAATGTCTCGAGGGCCTGCTTGTAGTCTTCCACATTCTGAATGGCATAAGAAGGAAAATTATAAGAATACAGACAAACCAGCTTGTAAATAAAAAGACATGAGTTTGAATTCAATCTGAGTCAAAATTTCATATTTTTGGAAACTGGAATTCTAATTTTCCTGAATTGAGTCAGGAAATTTCTTTAACAAACACATGAAATTCTGGCAAAAACTATATTGAGCTGTCCTCTTTTGCTTCACATAAATTAGTACTTAAGTACCATTGGTATTTGTTGTATGAGGCAAATAAAGATGACTCACTGAAACCACAGTGAGGAGTTGCAAATGACCCTGTCTCCCTGAAACTGACTTCTGGAATTTTACAGCAGCATGTGCCATATCTTCAACCTAACAACAGAAGCAATGTAAGATTGGGAGTGATATACACAATCAAATCAATTCTTCTCAGAAACAGTCCTTACACTGTCTTTTGCAGCTGTGTATTCTGTGCACAGAAAATGAAACAGTTGCTCCATGTTTCTTTTGGCCTGGTCCATAGCACTAACTCCAAAGAGTAGTTGCATCTCATGGAAAAACTGGAAAGCAGTAATGACTCTCATAGATTAAATTATATAGTGGAAAATAAATGACCACATGCAAGTGCCACAAGTATCTAAAATATTTACTGTGCATAACCAGCAGGAATGCATTTAATTCACTTTTTATGAAAAAAAGGACAATTTCCAAAATGGGGTAGCCTGCATAAAGATCATTCCAAATGAACTCCACCAATATTAAGAATGAAGCTAATTAATACATATAATGGTGCTCAACCATCACAAATTTTGCTTTAAAATACTTCACTGATTGCAGTCGATCAAACAAAGCCTCTAAATAAAAGGATCAGCTTCATTGGACCTGTGGTTAGCTAAACATTGCCCCCCAAACTTTGGGGAAAACGAAAAAATCCCATGGATGACAATATTTCCATCTCAGGAACCATTCACTGTAAGAAGGTGTGCAATGGCATGAACTTTCCTAGATAACTGGCTCTTTCCTAGATTGACTCTTGACATCCTTGGAATTTGAATGAGATATCAGCATCATCACTGAGTTCAAATAAGTGAAATGAAGGCAATTTTGACCCCCAATATCCTTATTTGGCAAGGAAAAAGACCTCATTACAATAAGATGCACTCCTCTTTCTTGTGCGAAGATGAAGCAAATTACTCGTTTTGCATAGAGAAAATTTCAGTTTGATATTGGAAAATGAAAATTGGAATTGTGGTTGAGCATTGATTGGTGAGTAGCATGTGCAATCCAAGGTAACCAGCATACCAGGCAGGTCCTAAATGATTGCATATAGCTCTGAAATTCCTTTCAAGTGATACATCACAACTATATTGAGTCACTTGAAGAATATTTGAATTCTTGGAATATATAACTTTTGACAAAATGAAATGAATTCTTCTTTGCAAAAGAAGAATTTATTTTATTTTTTTTTTATACACAAACCATAAAGAAAAATATTTATACACAAGATACTGAAAGTGTTCCACTAGATGAAAATAAAAATACTCAGTCAAACATGACAGAAAATAAGGGTATTCCAATTTTGAAGAGAAATTTTCTCTAAGGAATGGACAAAAAGTCAAACATCATCTTCAAACAAGAAAGAGGAATGTAAATAAATTACAAGAGATTAGTCTTTTCTCTCACCACATAGGGATGTTTGGGAGCCAAAATATCACCTTAATTTCACTTTTTTGAACTCAATGAAGATGCTGAAATCTCACTGCAACTGCAAGGATGTGTAGAGTGAATAGTTCACCTATGAAAGAGCTCCAATTCAAGCTGTTGCATGCCTCCATATTATGCATGGTTTATGGGAAGGAAATACATAGTTTCTTTCATATTTCCCTAAAGTTCGGGGACAATAATTTACTAATCACAGTTCCATTGGAGCCTACTATTATTTTACAGGCCTGTTAGATTGACTGCAATTGCTGAGAGTTTTAATATTGAAATCTGATGAGGTACTTTCTGCTTGAATTCACATGGAATGACCCATAAAACACATTAGTCTTTTACATATATGTTGCAGGGGCTTTCTATATACTGAACAGGACAAAAAAATGCTTTCCATAAAAAGTCACAGGGGAATAGGCAACAACAAATTCACCAGTTACACAGTGTCCTTATATCATATAAAGAATGAGATACTAAACTGAAATTTGCAAGAAAAACCCACCAAAACCTAAAAATATTCCATTTTAAAAATCCACTGCTGAAAAATCCCCTTCTAGCAATATTGGAATAAAAATTCAAATCAATTTCCTCCTAATGCAATTATTAACAGAAATGAATCAAATCCTCATGTGCACACATTTCTCACATCCATCAGCACCTTACCCCTCAAGCCTCATATACAGGGTGTTTCAAAACAATAGTCCCTATTATGAATGTATAGTACTAACTGAAACACTGAATATGAATAGCATCACACAAGTTTCATATTATATTCCTGCAGATGTATTCCCAAGATTCATGTGTAATGTAGTAACATGAGCTCATTAGGTAGACAGGGCTACTTTCCTCCAGGTGTCATTTAATACAATCTCCCAAGATGAACTGGGTGGAAAAAGCCTACTTTAAACTTTAAAACTATTATTATATATTTCATTAAATGTTCAAACTGGAGAAGTTCCTCTCATGAATCTCTTAGGCTTCCATAAACAACATGCAACAAAACCAATTCCTTATTTTTCTGAAGTGTGTAGTCACCTACTGTCTTTAACGTGGAAAAGTGATATTAAGTAGTTCTGATTGCCTATGAGTATTGAATTTTGTTAAATCCAGTATGTGGGTCATTTGAGAAATAATGCATAACTTTCATTCCAACATCAAGAAGGAGCTATCAGGATGAAATGCAGATCAAAACATGCTTAAGCTGTAGCACCTGTAAATCTGCTAACTTCCCATTTACTTTCAGAAAAATACTCAGTTATTTACTGAAAGAAGTCAGAGTGACAAGGCCACCACCATACATGAGATGCAGAATGCCTACTCTGAAATTGAGTTTAGTTAAGGAACATCAAGGTACTTACAAATTCCCCATCTCTGAAGCAAGGATACAGATCAATAATTGCCTTCAGGTATTTTCCATCTTTCACATGACTAAGCAAATGGGATCTCAAATGAAAGGTGTGGGAGAGAAGTAACTTTACTTTTCCCATGTCATATCTTGTTCTCTTCAATTCCTTTACCAACTCCAACTGATATTTCTCTTCATGAGCAATATCCACCCTTGCCACACAGGCATCTGCCCTCATCACACTATATGAGAATTATAGCAAGTTCATCTTAAGCAGATGGAGATAATCGCATAAAGGAGGAATTCTCTATCAGCATAAGAAGTTATTTCCTTACCAGGAGGAAATGGAATGAACTGAATTCTCTCCGTGCTTCTTATTCAGCTTCTTGGGACCTCTCAGAGAATGGTATTGAGGGTCTTGTTCCATTTCAGCAGCTTTCCTCTTTGATGTCTCCTTGGATTCACCAGGAGATTCTTTCTGAGTTGCAGTAGTGTCCTTTTGCTGCTGCTCCTCTGGCTGAATATATGGGACTTAGTCATCAAACTGGTTATTGAAAAGACTTTGAGTGAAGGTAGATGGTCTTACAGAGACTGTTTCCTGATGATGAGCTTGAGTTGTTTTCTTTTTTTCCAGTCGAATTTTTCTGATTTTTCGTGACAAGCACTTTGTGAAATGACTCTGGAAAAAAATTGCCACAGTTAATGAGGCACTATGAACATAATGACCAGTACATAGAACGAGAAAATTCCTCAAGCAGTTCCTACCATGAGGAAATAAAATATATTCAATGCAAAAATGCATAGGGGTATCAAGATTGCATTGAAATCATTTATTATGTTTATGGATTCAACTTTGGGCTTTTCTGAAATTAAAAATTCTTTTTCATTGCCCAAGTTTTTCTCTGGTTCAAATTTTACTAATTACAATTGACACTGACAATCAGAGACAATATGATCAGAACAGGAAAGTAAAAAAATTACATCCAAAATGAAAAAAAAGTTAGACAGCAACTTAATCCAGCCATCCTCAGTCAAATCCAACTCCATCTACTTGCTAATTTTTTCATTACACAAAAAGAAAATTTTCTTGCAGTCTGTAAGTTTGAATGACAGTTCTAAACTTTTTTCTGGCTTGGTTTGGCATGATTCCAACTCCTCTTCTATGTCTTACTTTTTTTTCTGGATCTGTGACAAGAGGAAACTAAAAAATTGTACCTTCATGAATTTGTAGTTCCCAAACTATTAAAAAATAAAAATCAAAGAAACTAAGAATATATAATTGTGCCAAAACAATCATCTGGGACTGGGGTGCACCTCCATGAGTACTATTTCTGTCATGACATCCAGACAATTTACTGAAGTCACAGTTCACAGTGCAGATGCTACTTGAACAGTTTTTTAAGTCAATAAGACAGGGTCATACTAACTCATATTCTCACACATAAGTATGATCTGCCACATAAAACTCCAAGTCAGCATGGAGTCCTCAAAAATTTAATAGTAGCAGGGATTGCATATTCTTTCAGGAAGTCTCCCTAACAGTTCTATCCTTTTCATTTGCATTGTGACACTTCAGTTATTATATTGCTGGAATTGTTTCACATTGTGTCCCATTTACATTTGAAGTTTTTTAAAAATACAAATTATATAGGAACAGGAAATTTTAAAACCCTGATATGTGACAATATCCTCACACAAAAAGAAAATTATTCAGATTTTCTCATGACCAATTCCAAATCTCCCATGAAAAGTTGGACACTGATGACTGTGAATGAAGCATGCAAAAAGTAAATGCAGTGATGCATGGAAGGATAAACTAAGAAAGGAAAAAATAAAAAAAGAGAGACAGTGCTCACCCACTCATGCCGCCCTTCCAACTCAATGCAGGGATAAGATTTGTACATTTCTTTTCCCACCATACAATACTCCTCTTTTGTGGAAATTCCCAACTTCACATAGAAGTTTCCACACTCTGATATGAACCTGGGCCAATGGTCCAGTATCTCACCCTTACTTAGCTTTTGCTTCAAAGTGCTGGTGAATTCTGGCAGTGGTGGATCATCCAAAAGCTGGAAATACAGTGCCATTGAGTTATAGATCAATGTTGGATCTCCAATATTATGAACATGAGAAAACTTATGAGGAAGAAGGGAATTTACTTATACTTATGCGGCTTTGAGAAAATTCTTTGACAACTAGAGGGACTGGTTACTAGCAACAATAATGCGCATTGTTATTAAAAAGGTCATTGAAATTTATTTTGGTGTTATTTTGGTTCCAAGGAGGTTCCCTCCTAGGCAATCTCCATCGTGAAGCACACTCTGTTCTCCACAGCACTTCAGGGACTCCTTCCTAAGTCAGCATATTGCAACACTGTGGCTCACACAATCTCTAGATCTCAATCCTATAGATTGCTGAATACTTGTTGGGGGGATTATGTGAATTGCATGTTCATCACCATCATCAAACCAACCAAGTAGAACTACAGCATACCCATTCACTACAAAATTCTGTATTTTGACCAATTTTGTGGTACTGTCAATTTATCATTGTGAATAGATGCTGTTGTTAAAGCTAATGGTAGCTACATTTAAAATTTAATCCTAACATGTTGCTCTCTTTCCAATGTTTTGGACCAATAGCAATAGTATTAAAAAATCTCAGACTGATCACTGCACAAAAACATATTTATTGTTAAGTGTCTACTTGCACTTACTCATGACAGCAAACTCTTAAGGAGAAGCAAATCAATCAATAGATACTACTTATGACACCAGAACAAATCTAGTTGACTTTTCAATTTACCTATCATTGACCAGGGTCAATAGTATAGTGCATGAAGAGCAATATAAAGAGGTTGCATGCTCTTGCAGTGTAAAATCTAATGAGGATGACTTGCTCTCATCTTAAGATTTCAGTTGGACAGCCCAATAAATGGACAAAAGGCAATATTCACTATCAATGAGAAGGCCCTGCATCTGCATTAAAAAGTAAAAAGTTCAGGAAAACTCAATAATTGCAAATTAACAACATGCCCAGCTTGTACAAAGGAAATATGATGGCCACCTCAAAAGACCTATGATAGTTTCTTAGATCAGCATAAAATAAATAGGAAATTTTGCTTCTTCCCTTTTTACTCAGGCAATTCACCAACTTTCTCTCATTTTGCAACAATCCATTCAATGGGTGACAATTACATGAGAGCAGGGGCAATATCAAATAAGTTGTAAGACCATAAAAATGGTGCTTTAATTAGTAACTTATAGTCAAGGTCATGAATGGTAGCTTTTGTTTGATGATTGGTGAGGGAGTAAGTTCTGTTATGCTGAAGGAGAACTTAACATGATGACCAAATTCCATTATTACGTTTCATTTTGAATTTATTTCAATTGAGGCAGCACTTTATCATATTTTTTCATCTTAGGGGCCCTGTACCTCAACCTACTACACAGAAGTCTTGAATAAATACTAAAAATCAAGCACCATCACAGTGAGTAGCTGCCAGAGAAAAAAGAAAATTTTCCCCTACGCATCAGCCACCATTCTTGCTCCTAGTTACAACTTGCTCCTAGTTACAAGGTGCAGCCAAGCACTGACATATGACCTATCCAATACAAAAGCACGAAGACCAACTTCAGTTATTTTTCAACAACAGATATTGTGAATCAGCACTTTGTTTAAATGTTCATATTAGTACAGCCCAATCACAGAATGATTGGGATAGGCTTCAAACAAGGAATTTACTTCATGATATGAATAATGTGTATATGCATGCAATCAAATTCTGAGATAGAAATAAGCAACACAAAAAAACAAACCTTGAATCCTGACATTGACATAGTTTCAGCTTCACCAGATGGTACATCCAATTGGTCCTATGGAATGCAATAGCTGTTACTAAGCTGGAAATATTTGCTTAAGAAACATGACATTTCTCCTTTCATATAGAGTTCAACCGATGAGATACATACCGATTCTTTGTTGCCACGTGGTTGGAGAGTTGTGGCAGAACTTTGCCACCTAGATGGGTCCTGGTGCTGGTGATCAACACTTACAAAGGGGCTCAATGAGGCTTCATGGCATGAGAGTGGATCTTCATTTACTGTATCACAGTATTCATATCCAAATGGTTGGTTACTGGGAGCACACACATTTGCTTGTAGTGGGACTGATTAAGGTATGAAAATACCAGATATTTTTATGCAGGAATAATTCTTTTTCCAGCAAATATGAATGCATAATTACTCACTTTTACCCTTCTCGTTAGAAGTATTTCCTTGTGGCATTGACAGAACAACCTTGTCAGTCCAAAGGGAGTCATGAAAAGTTTTATCGCTGTGAAAAACCTGAGCAGTTTCTTTTTTCACATGCTTGACTGGTGAGCAGGAGCAGTAGTGGCATTCATTTTTACTTTCATCTGGCGGCAACTCATACTCCTCACATTCTAACTCTCCACATTCCTTGCAGGATCCTCTGTCCACACCACGTCTGTCCTTCATCTTGATGGATGCATGCACTGATCCATCAGATCATTAAATGCTGAAACATCCCTATTATCAAACATATCATCATGCAAATAATATATTTAGAATAATATATTTATAATAGATAAAGATATTATTTCCTGAGGTATGGATTCTGCTGTTCATCAAGAATTAAATCTGAATCCAAGGGTGGAAGATGGACCTAAGAATTTCAATATATTGGGGATGTAATACTAAATCTATGAATAACATAGAGCCTTCCATCTTGCCTCCTGACTGGAAGAGGCCAAGGATTTTCCAAAAGTTGCTGGCTTAGATACTTCAGATTCCCAGATGGCTTTACCTCATATGCATGAAGCTGCATATTGAAATCAACAATGTCCAAATCCTCATATAAGAATACTACATCTCTCTCTGAGACTATGATTACCTGCAAAATCATACCAAACTGGGGACATTCATCTTCTTGAAGAGGAGATGTACACAATATTGCAGTTGATCGATATCGAAACCCATCGATTCTGATTTCCTTTCCTCTAACTGGCATGACATTTGGATCAGAAAGCATGTGTTTTGACTCAAGATATGAGAGTAAACTTTGCTTTTCTGCTTCAGTCAATTTTGAGGAACCAGAAATGGCACAAGTGTAGTCAGAACCAAGCTTTGATCCTGATTGCAGAAAACATGCCCTTAGCTGTTGCTGCTTAAGAACACTGTATAAAATATTCCTGTAACACTTCCATTTCCTGTTCTTGAGAACAGCATAGGCAGCCTCCCACCGCATGCACCAATGGTGCCGCAATGGCCCAAACGAAAGCAGCTGGTCAGGAAAGTGTATCATGTAGTGGAATTTGGGTGTCAATTTAACCCCTGGATACAGTTCCAAGAAGGACTTGTTGTGAGTTGCAATAAGTTGTCGTAGCTGAGCAACTGTATCGATAGTAGCATGGGGTGTCGTGCACAGGAATGTGATGGCACACAATCGTAAAAAATTCACCCACTTCGGATACATGTGAGGAAGATGAGGTCCAATGATAAAGGGTAGGACATCAATCAAGGTAATAACTGATGAAGCAGAAAACCCAAGCACTCCACCATCACAAACAAAGTTTGCATGAATTGGACCAGGTTTGTCCTCAATTTCCAGATAGGTGTATGGAAACTCATTCAAGCTTTCATTCAAAAAGTCCAGAGTGATCAGCTGTGTAAGAATGATGTCTTTGAGTAGATAGTGGAGTTCAAACGGTATGCATCCGAGAAGTAGAACATGCATTGGGTCATGCACTGCCATTCTGATAGATACATGAGGAGCATCCAAGAGTGCAGATCTAGCATTCACACCATAATTTGCACTTACCTGTTGACGGCTCTTGCCACTTGCACACTCGGAAAGCATCTGACATGCAATGTGATGTTCAGCATCAGTTCTCAAATGTAAGTGCCTTGCATCAAAAATTTTCTGCACATCGCCACGTGAAATGTCACATGTCCGACAGGGCTTTGAAGCAAATCCAACCCCTTCCTTGAATCCCCATAAAAAGTTGGATGCAAGAGTATCACAGGGAACTGCTAGGAGAGCACCAACCACTTTTTGAGGGGAACCTTTGACATCAATGGATGTGCTTTTTGATAATTGTGCCAAGGACAGAATGAAGTCTGCAAGGAGATTGTTCAAGCCAAACCTACGTATATCTGCTGTTCTTGCAACTGCAAATACCTGCTTTGTGAGTAGCTTTGAACGAAACTTAGGAGGCATGTTTGCAAGCTCATATGAAAACACTGCCAACTTATGCTTTTTTGTGTGCATTCCAATGGGATTTACTAGTTCAATATCATCATAGCTCATGATGAGGGAGAGGGCATTGGGATTACAAGAAAACACAGGATGTTTGTGAAAAAATGCCCCATCACACCAGTCCCTCATGATCCCATCATTTACTGGGGATTTGGTGTGAAACACGTGATGATATACATCTTCAAGGGACAACAATTGTGACAAACTCTTCAGCAATGGAACTATATACCCAATGCTGTCAACTTCTTTCAGTAAGCCACCTACATAAATGTCTTTGCTGCCCAGCTTTATGGGAACAGGCTCAATCAAGTTGAACTGCTCCTCATAAAATTTCTCACGAAGATATGTAGTTGTCAATGCTTTAATTGACTGGGGTTCCAAGTACCCAAGAACTCCCGCAGTCACATGTGCAGGACAGTCTTCATTCACCAGTATTTTGCCCACATGCTGACGTGCCTCAAAGAAGCTCTGAGTCATGGTTTCGTCTAATTCACGGGCAATGATATTAATACTTGTCTTTGAGACATTATGCATTGTCTCCAACTTCAGCATAAGCTGAGATAGTGGGAGAAGAAGGGAATGGTGGTGTCCTTGTTGGATGGGCCTTCTTCCCAATTCCATGCCTTCAGAAACATGACTGTCAGGAGGAATCCTGTCAAGGACAAGATCGATAGAGTCACCATCCTTAGGGGGATGAACTCTGTGAATACGGCTGACGTGTGCTCGATACCCAGAATGAGACTTTGTGGTGTATGGACAATGTCAACACCTCATGATAAAGTCTGGATCGTGTTTGTGGTATCTCCACATATGTCTCCTTATTACTAAGTCTGTCTCTGCTTCAAACATGCAATGAGGGCAATTCTTCATTTTTGTAAATTTAGACCTACATTCATATCACTTGAAAGAGTGAATGCATGAAATGGAATGGCATTCAAGGCACTTCATCGTTATCAAAGTGTATCATGAGCAATGTGGCAAGACTAGCTATAAACAGCTTTATCTGGCTCAGACAAGAGGACAACTGACTTACAAGTGAGTGGGGGTCTCAACACCTCACCTCTCTACAAGGTTCAGTGATCCTTGCACCACACCTTGAAGACTTTGAACTTTGCATTGATCTCATATAAAATCCAACTATGGCAGTGAGAAAATAGAATATTGTGCACAATTAATTGGGATTCACTCTTACAGCAGGACCTAAGTAACTTCTATAGGCTTAGGCTAACTTGATCCTGACATTTGGCATATTACAACGCATACAGAACTTTCATGTTGAGTTTACATACCCTTTACATGCCAACTATTGATAACTATGGGCAGGGCATCTAAAGGTGGGATATTATGAGTTCATGAGTAAGTGTTTTGGAATACTTTAATGTAAATTGCTGGATGATTTCCTCACATGTTGGCTGTGGCTTGAGTACCCTGCATTTAATGATGAAATTACATTCCGACTTGCACTTTTTGAACTATGAAATAACTGCTGTCATATCAAGAAGTTTGTAGAATTTGCCAAGCCCAAGGCTTCCACTTCAAGGTGACATGGCCCACATACACATTGTTCCCTTTTGAGTCTATGGACTCATTTTAATGGGTGTGAAGTTTTAGTATGTACATCTTCAGGCTATCCGTTGAAAGAGCCTCTAGCTCACCACTTGTCATGAGACTCATGAATCCACAATTATTGGAGAACCCGCCACTTCGATAAGAAATTGGAAAGTGATAAAAAAAACAACATGTATTTATTACTATTGGATACATCAATGACAAGCTCATTTTTCTGTTGAATTTTTGAAGAAACCTATTTTTGGCAACTCATTAGTGTGTTGCTTCGTCACTCTTGTCAGCAATACAATCTTTTCATTGGAGTTGCCCCCTGTCACTGTTTTTCATCAGTCAATTACATGACAAAGAGAAAGAGATCTGATAATTGGGATCCAATCCCATGTTCTAAGTCCCATGACAAGAAAAGTCAAGGCACTTTCAAAAGACACACTAGTACACATGTACAAACTCAAATCATGACAATTTTCCAGGGAATCATGTCACCTTTGAGTGGATATCCTGGCAAAAAAATGATTGGAAGACAGACCCTGATATGCCAGGAAAGTAATGTTATACAGGAAAGAATGGCACACGACATGCCATTCCTGAAAATACAGTGTCATGGGCCTATGGACTCAAATCCTCTCCATTTGAAACCTTCTTTGTGTCTTTAAAAGGCACAATGAGACTCAGATAAGGTTATGACTTCCTTTGAGTCTCTTCATAAAAATGCATGACAAGCCTGAAGTATGAAATAGTTACAGTACCTCTGGTCTGATCAAGCAGAGATCCAATGTTTAGACACATCAATCATTCCTTCAGAAAGAAACTTGATCAAGCTAATATAATGCCTAAAGTGAAGGTCCACAGTACCTATGCCTTACTCTGTGTAATGCCAGCATAAGCTACTTCCGTTTACAGCATTGTCTTTCTCCTTTGCATGATTACTTTGACTGATGGCAAACTGAAACCTACTTCATGAAAAGAACAGGCAGCAATACTAACTTCATAAATGATAACAGTGAGATAAAGTTATATTTTTCATCAGGTTAAGGTTTACCATAAACTTCTAATCATACCCAATAACAACTTGGTTGTCTCATCACACAGGATTAGCATTTCAATGAATCCCAAAACTTAAAGCCATTGGAGTATCTATGGCACTTCCAACCTAAGCCTAGGTCAACTTAAGCCACCAATGACATGATATTACATCCTAATCATGGAGAAGCTAAGAATACTAAATAGAAAAAAAAAGGGAACTGCTTGGTATTGATAATTGGAAGGAAGAAGGCGAAGAGCTTCCCAATGAAATAGTATTCTGTGGGAAAAGAAGAAATAGAGGGCTACAGCCACTGGAGAATATGTGGGAGCACTGAGTTTTCTCAAATGTAACACTTGATGCCTTTAGGTCTCATGGGACCATTACATTAATTGCATCTTAATAAGAATCTGACCAATGCTTATGCAAGTTAGAGCTGTAAATTAGGCCTATAAATATGCCAAATAATGACCTCCATCTACTTGAGCTGACATCCATCCATTTGTGTGACATATCACTTAAAATCACTGAAGTTGAAATTAGATTTGTATGTTACCATAAACCTGAATCATGCCACAGGTAAGTTAGACACCTTAACAATTTCCTCACAGTTTACTAAACACATTCTTAACAGTGCTAGCTTGATTGGCTCGTGACCATTATTGATGACAAAGCCATTGCAGATCTGGTCTTTCTCCCCTCCTTAGCAGGATGTCACCATACAACACCATACCTGAAACACAATAGGCTTTCAAGTATGTCTCCTGTGGTATTAAAACCATATTTCCGAGTTACTTGTTAAAGTATTTTGTGTTCGATGCAGAAGTGCCACTGACTTCTCTATGTGGGGCTGATTGGCTTCTGTATAATAAAGTCCAGGCTAACCAGACCAGGTTTATCATATATCATACCAATGTAGTCGACAATAGGCCTTTCTAGATCATGCTATCATGTCGCAGATTTGCAAGAGATGGGCCTTATTCATAGCTTGTAAGCGACTTCGACAGATTTTGTGACTATACACCGATAAACAACAAAGCTGCAGGTTTGAGCACAATAAGAAAATCAAGCATTGTTCATGTGGCGCCATGATGTACTGCCGGCCACTGCTGCCATAGGCCCAAGTATAGTGGAAGCACGAACAACTTTCGAAAATGTTTAAAATTTCTCTCTATTCCCAATATATAATGAACGTTTTTAAGTTGAGAGATTCCAGTGAAAATTAGGGAACGAATGAACCTTGTAGAAAGTCTCTATTAAATCCATAATAAATCTACCTATCTGAGCGAGGCGTCCCCATTTGCCGCCATGTGTTCCCAGGTGTCCTGCCTTCCCACCCCAAGTGTTCCCAGGCGTCCTGCCTTCCGACCCCAAG